GTAGCCCCAGCTGTCCTGGAACTCACTCTGTAGACCAGGCTGGCCTTAAACTCACAGAGATCTGCCTGCTTCTGCCTCCCAAGTGCTGGGACTGCAGGCATGCACCACCACGCCCGGCTTCATTTGTGGTTTTTAAAAAAGTTCTCCACACTGCTTTCCATAAGGGTTGAACAAGCTTGCAGTCCCACCAGCAGTGGATGAGTGTTCTTTCCCCACATCCTCTCCAACATTTGGTATCATTTGTTCTCTTGATCTTAGCCAGTCTAACTGGGGTTAGAGGAAATCTTAAAGTGGTTTTAATTTGCATTTCCCTAATTATTAGTGATGTTGAACACCTTTTAAGATGCTTCTTAGCCATCTTTATTTCTTCTTTTGGGAACTCTCTGTTCAGCTCCTTAGCCCATCTTTTGATTGAGTTGCTTCCTTTCTTGATACTTTGGTGTTTTTTGGTTTTGTTTTGTTTTGTTTTGTTTTTCTTTTGGCTTTTTGAGACAGGGTCTCCCTATAGCCCCAGCTGTCCTGGAATTCACTATGTAGACCAGGCTGGCCTCGAACTCACAAAGATCCGCCTGCCTTTGCCTCCCAAGTGCTGGGATTAAAGGTGTGCGCCACTTGAGTTTGTTATATATTCTGGATGTTAAACCTCTGTCAGATGTGTCACTGGTGAAGATTTTCTCCCATTCTGTGGGTTTTTTTCTTCACTTCCTTGGTTGCTTCTTTTGATGTACAGAAGCTTTTTAGTTTAATGAGGTCCCATTTGTTGATTCTTGACCTTGTTTCTTGGGCAGTTGATGTCCGGTTTAGAAAATCCTTCCCTACACCTATATCTTATAGGTTATTGCCAATGTTTTCTTCTAACACTTTGTCAGAGTTTCAGGTTTCACATTGAGGTCTTTGATCCATTTGGAGTTGACTTTTGTGCAAGGTGAAAGATAGGGGTTTAGTTTCATTCTTCTACAGGTGGAGATCCAGTTTTGCCAGCACCATTTGCTGAACATGGTGTCTTTCCATCCAGTGAATGTTCTTGGCTCCTTTGTCAAATATCAGGTGGCTGAAATTGAATGTACTCATATTTGGGTCTTCAATTTTGTTCTATTTATCTATGGGTCTATTCAGTCTCATGTTTTAAGTTGCATATATGTACTTTTCACTTCTTGATCTTTCTACATACTGTCCTCAGAGTTGTCTTTGAATTTGTCTTCCAGATTAAAGTTATGATCCTCCATAGCATCTAATTAGTTTCAGTGATCATGTTTTTAATTTCCGAGACTTCTGGTTTGCAGTTGTACTTTTTTCAATAGATGGTTAAATCTGTTGTTCTTACTCTAAGAATACCAAAAGGAGGTTTTGTTTCAGTGCTGTTCAGGTCGTTGGTTTTGTTGGCGTGTCTCAGTCCTTTTTTTTCTTACTTTTTTTCTTCTACTGCCCTCAATTTTTCTTTAGTTCTGGGTTGTGCTCACCCATCTGACTGGACTGCAGTTTCAGTTGATAAAGTTACCAGTATGACTTTCCTTAGCAGATGAATAGGTCACTCTACCTACCAGGTCCCACCACTGACCTCCAATTTTCACTACAGTATGTTTTGATTATTTCCCAATGTCAAAAATGCCAGTGCACCGGTGCGTCATACTGATTAGTATGGGTTTTCGTCATAGTATTATTTGCTTTTTTGCTTAGTCAGCCTTTTGCTTTTCCAACTTTTCTTTAACATGAGGAGCATATTTGTACATATTGTTACATACGTCTGTGATGACTTTCTTGTTGATTCCTATACTGAAATTTAATCTTTGCCAATTTTATATATATGCATATATACAATACCTTGTTGCAGTTTGAGTTTGCGTGTTTGAACATTGTCACAAGTTTCTCTTGTAAATTAACTTTATATCCTGCACCTGTCTCTGTTCTGATGTTCATTCTTTTGCTTTGTGAGACTCTTTGTTTTGGAATACTAGCTCTTTGTAATATTTTGCAGGGTTTTTTTGTTTTGTTTACAGTTTGTAGCTTACTTTTCACATTTGCAGTATGTGTTTTTTTTGCTAAACCCATGTTTTTGGTGCCATGTATCCAAAAACCACTTATTTACCTGTCTGGAGATTAAGTTTCATCTCGATAATTTGTTTTTTTCTAGTTAATGATTTCTATTTTTACTTTAACCTTTAAATCTGTATAATTTGTTTTACAATGTGGTTTGAAGAGAGATACATCTTTGGTTTTTTACTCAAATAACCAGTCAGCTAATATCTTTTTTATTGATGAGACTTTCTTCCTTAATTTGAAATCTCATTTTTGTCATATACTAAGCATTTATGTATGAGTGTGTGTTTCTGCCTAAAAATAACTTTCCTAGGAATGTTGTACAATTCCTGAAATTCCTACTAGACTACTTCATTACATTACCATTGGTAGAAAACATGTCAGTGCTGAGATCTCTGTGTTAAAATCTTACCTAGTGCTTGTTTGTTACCTTAATATTTAAGATGTATTTTTTATTATCTTAATTCTGTATCTGGGGGTATATTGTGTGCATGTGAGTGCAGGTGCCCAAGAAAGGCAGAGGGGTCAGCTCCCTCTCGAGTTTTTATTACCGGTGGTTAAGAGCTACTCGACATGGGTACTGGGAACTGAACTCAGGTCCCCTGTAAGAGCAATACAAACTCTTAACTGCTGAGCTAACTCTTCAGCCTTTGTTTTAGTTTTTGAGAATTAAAGCTCTCCAGAGTATTTTCTTCATCAGAACATTTTATTATCAGCCAAAGATTTTTTTCCTTTCTTTTGGGTGGCGGTGGCAGGAGGGGCCTACCAGGAATAAAATTAAACTCTAATAAATAAAAGTCAAACATGGGCTGGGGAGATAGCTTGGTAGTAAAGACACTTGCTGCCAAGCCTGATAACCTGAGTTTGATTCCTGAATCCCACATGGTAGAAGGAGAGAACCTAACTCCCGCTACAAGTTGTCTTTTGACTGTATGCATATTGTGTGTGTGTGTGTGTGTGTGTGTGTGTGTGTAATAAATGAATGTAAAAATATTGTTTTAGGTCAAGCATTATGATTTTTAAGAATATAGAATGGCTTCAGAGATAGGAAAATGTAATCATTGTGGGTGGGGTAAAATAAACATTGTAGAATAAATGCGTTGCTGTGACAAAATATTCTGAGATCAACAACTTAAAAGGAGGAAAGGTTTGTTTGGGTTCAGAGTCTCGGCACTTTCAGCCCACAGTCTGTTGATTTGGGCTTGTGTTGGGGCAGAGCATCATGGGAAAGAGTGCTGTGGCAGAGCCATGCTTCCTACCTCACAGGAGCCAGGGTCCCAATAGTTCCTTAAGTGCACACTCAGTGACTTAACTTCTGGTAGGTTTCACCACATAAGGACCACCATCCCCCAGTAGTGACACACGCTGGTGATCAAGCCCTCAACAGGTCACCTTGAGGGGACATTTAAAATCTAAACTATAACTGCAAAATAATGGTGTTTGAACTTTGAAGAAGCAGCTGGAATGTTCCTAAATTGGCAGCATTTCAGATTATGTTTTCTACTTATTGATTTTCAAACGAATCAAATTGACAGCACTTTGTTTCTAAATACCACTCATTTCTGAGGCTGCACCCAGCTGTGGGCAGCGTGCTTCATCTCCCTTGCCCTGCAGTGCTCCAGCCATACTGTGGATAAAGGCAGGATTTCATGATGAATTTCTGCAGAAATGCAGGGTACGTTGTAGTGTGGTAGGCCAGGTGTGAGGTATGTGCCTAGTTTCTGAACTATTGATTCAAAACTAAATTGATGAGGGGATTTCACAGAAAATCATTACCAGCATTACACAAAACCAACTGTGGATTTAAAATACTAAATTCTAGGTTTAACTGCATGACCTTATGTGACTCTTTTTCTTCTTTTCAGATTTTTTTTTTTTTTTACAACAAATAAATGTGACAGAAAACATTGCCACTAGTGCTCTGGAAGAAATTTCAGGGGTCCGTGGTTAACTGAGTTGGGCGAATGCTGTGTGCTGGGTCCTTCTCTGAGACATGCACAGTGCACAGCTGTCTATTAAAAACTTTCAGAGAATTCTTACTGGAAAGAAATCCTTAAGACTTTTGAACTCTTTTTTTTTTTTTCATTTTTAATTGAATTTTTGTGACTTTCTTACAATATAATTTGATGGTATTTAGATCCCATCCCCTATCCACACTTCCTTTTATGCCCCCTTCCAATTTAATGTACTCTAATATATATATATATGAGTATATGTATATATATCCCCTCTACAGTCTCATTTGTGTCTCCAAATGTCCTTCAGTGTGGATCCAGCCCCTGGAGCCTGGTCAACCTACCAAGAGTCCCATGCTTGAAAGAGACTGTCTCTGCCCCTCCCAGCAGCTATCTATTCACAGTTTCCTTAGGTGGGGTTGGAGCTTCTTACCCACTTCCTCATGTCTGTGCTGGGGTTTTGTCTGATTTGAGCTTTCATGGAACTTGTGCATGCTGTTACCGTTGCTGTGAGGTCATAGGTGAACTCATTTCTTGACATCTCTTGGAACTGTATTTACAGTGGGAAACTCTTTAGTTCTAAAAAAAGACGTTTTGTTGTATATAAATAAGTTATTTTACAGGTGGTATAAGAAAATGCTGGAAAACCCTCCTGATTGTACACAGTCTTCCAATAGATTTTGAAGCATAGCAACACAGTGAAATGATGTTTGATCCTGTGAAAACCAAGATTTTGGTTTGGGATTATTAGAAGAAAGAAGGGTCAAACTTGGCTACTTTTCAAGAGCTCTGTCTAGTACCTTAGATTCTGTCTAGAATGTTATTTCATGGTTCAGTTTGTTGTTAGACACTATATATTTAACATATTTTATTTAATATAATTCAACTATTGTTGACTCAAATATATGTACATATATAAGGGTCTCATATTTTTTGTTCATAAAACAATATTTGGCCTCCTAGGAAGGCAATTCAGAGGAATATTAAGTGTTTTCATCTTATTTGTAGGATGGGTGCTGCAGACAATATATACAAAGGACAGAGTACATTTATGGAAGAACTGACTGACACAGCGGAAATAATCAGAAAAGCAACGTCACGGTCCTTGGTTATCCTTGACGAACTGGGAAGAGGGACAAGCACCCATGATGGAATCGCTATTGCCTATGCTACACTTGAGTATTTTATTAAAGATGTAAGCATCCTCCACACCTTTACAACTTTTATTAACTAATGTTGTTTTAAATTGGCAAATCATAATTTTATTCAGTTATGGGGTATAGCATAATGTTTTGATATATATGAACAATATGGAATAATTAAATCAAGATGCTTAACATATCCATCACCTCACTTTTTGTGGTGATTAATGAAATTTGTTCTCTTAGCTATTGTAAAACATATAAGCCATTATTATTAGCTATGGTTGTAATTCCTTTGTGTAATACCTATATAGTCTCTTTTTCTCTTTTGATTTTTTTTTTTTTGGATGTGTGTGTGTGTGTGTATGTGTTTGGGGGTATGTGAAAATGTATTCACGTGTGTGTATATGCATGTGTAGGCTAGAGGTCAAATGTTCTACAGAAGCTGTCCACCGTGTTTGCTGAGATTGGGACTCAGGGCTTTCCTATTAGGCTAGGCAGCCAAGCCTGTGAGCCCCAGACATCTACCTGTCTCCACTTCCCCAGTGGTGAGAATACAATCTCATATCACCACATCTAGCTTTTCACATGGGTTTTAGGGATGGGGCTCAGATCTTTACATGTGTATGGCAAGCATGTCACTGCCTTTGTCATTGAATCTTATAGTCAGGAGACGCTCTAGTTTTGCTTAAACATTTACTTAGATGACATAATGATAACATTTTTTTTTCTTTAAAATGAATACTTTTTTTCTTTTTAAAAGTTCTTATTAGAAAAAAGGTGCATCTCACTATGTACGATGAAAGTTTTGGTAACATTTCATCTGTACCACCAACACATTTTAAATATCCATTTCACTTTCAGGCAAAGTAATAACAGAACTGGGTTTGCCACCTCTAAGTCCCATTTCATACTTTCTGCTATCCTGTAGTGTGTTGGTGCTGTGTCTGTGTAGCAAATGACTGTCGTTGTTGAGCCAGGATTCAGTAGCAGCTTGACCAGGTGGTTTTGGTTCAGAATGTTTGCTGCAGCTCTGGTGAAGTAACCAGTTGGGGTTGCTCACATCTGAAGGTTCAACAGGGGCTGCAGGATCCCCTGCAGCGTGGCTTACTCACAACACGGGCTGTTCTGGCAGTTAGCTAGTCCTTCCAAACCTTCTCTGAGTCTTTTAGCATCCTTACAGAGTGAAGCTAGCCTTCTTCCAGGAAATATAGTTCAAGAGACCCAGAGAGAATAGGAATGTTAAATAAACTCATAGTTGGTACACTGTAACTGCAGCCTGGTGCATGCACCAATCTAACAGGTTCGATATTGCATTGGGAAGAATGGACATTTTTTACAACATTGACCCTTCCTGTCTATGAACATGGTTTATCTTTATTAGCTCTTTTTTATTTCTTTCCTTCAAGTTATATAGTTTTATCATGCAAATTTTGTATTTTTGTTTGGTTTACACCTAAGCATTTCATTTGGGTAGTGCTAGTGTAAAGGGTGGTTTTTTAGTTTCAAATTCTACTTTTAATTGCTGGTATATAAGTAATCGGCTTACTTTTGTATATTAACCTTATCTACCTCAACTACTAAATTCACTCATCAGTGTTAATGTCATGAAAGACAAAAAAGAAATGGGAGAAAATTATTTTGGATAATTAGGAAAACGTGAATCATATATGATAGTCAATTTCTTGTGAATACATTTTAAAATGTATTTATAGGAAGCTGTTTTTCTACCCTCAAAGATAGTCTTAAAAGTGTTTAGGGGTATCTGTAGCACATTCTCAAATGATTAGAGCTGGAGATATAGCTCAGTGGTAGAGCACTTGCCTAGCATGTGCAAAGCACTCTGGGTTCAATCCTCAATACTGGGGGGGGGCATGATTCAGGAACAAGGATAGTTTTGTGTGTGTGTGTGTGTGTGTGTCTATCTGTCTGTCTGTCTGTCCGTCTGTCTGCCTGTCTATAAGAGGGAATAAGGAAAGGAATATTCATTGGTTATCTCAATAAAGAGTATATGGTGTTTGTTGTAGTTGTAGATTTTATAAAGATTTGAATTTTTTAAGTTGAAAAGTACTGATTAAAGTCACTCATTGTATGTCTTATTGCTTTAGGTGAAATCCTTAACCCTCTTTGTCACCCACTATCCACCAGTTTGTGAGCTAGAAAAAAGTTACTCACAACAGGTGGGGAATTACCACATGGGGTTCTTGGTCAGTGAAGAAGAAAGCAAAGAAGATTCAGGTATGAGATCCCTGAAGTTGGTCCAAGTTGATTATTACTTTCAGTTTTGGAACTCAAAGTTCATAGGAATACAAGCTTATTGCTTATTAATAATGAAAACTGTGAATGTCAGTTATAAACAACATTCACCCATATTCATTTGCTCTCAGCTTTGGGTCATGTAGAGTGTACATTATTTATTTGCTAATCTGGAGTCCTTTGTTCTTCTCTTCTCTCAGTTTAAATGGCAACCCTTTTTCCAGAAGTGGGTAGAGGTGGAAGAGGCCCTGAGGGTCCTCCTAGTCCCTTACGTCTTTACATGGTTCTTATCCCAGGAAAGATGCTTGATAGTCAAGTGCAGAGTATTCTTAGTCATCTCTAAAGATGTCCAGTATTTCCCCCAAATGTCATTTAATACCAGTTACTTCCTACAGACCATATCCTGTAGTGGACATATGTTCTGTATTTTTCTAACAAAAGTGAATCTCAGATAGGTAAAGTGGCTTGCTCATGTCAGCCACTTGGGTAGAGAACAAACTGTGCCTCGAATCCACATTTTCTGCTCCCAGGTCCTGTTTTCTACTAGATCTCTTTACAGGGGAGTCCACAATTTTGTTCCTAGCCTTTCCAATTATTGCCACTGTCAGAGAAATAAAAAAAGAGCACCATTGGCCCACAAAAATAAGTTTAGGTGCTATAAGAAACTTCAGTAGAAGTGTTTTAAGGCTACCAGTCTGTGGTATTTTGCACAGTTGGTGTGCTGTAATGGAAAATCCATTATCCAAGATACTCCAAACTCCAAATTTAATTTTTGAAAAATAGTAAGGATAGACCTGGAAAAAAAAAAATCAGGCAGATGGCCCAAATAAAATAAAGTGTTGGACCTAAGGTAAATGTAAGGTTAAGCAATTCCTGCCTTTCACCACCCTGCAGCCCTGAAAAACACATCATAAATTCTCTCATGGACGAAGTTTTGCTTCTTATTAATCTGCATCCAGTGTGGCAGAAGATGACTTCCAAGCCGAAACTCACAAGGCGAACAAAGTAGAGTTCACCAAGTAGAGTTCACCAGCAGAGGAGGGCAGGAGGCAGAGCTACTGAGCGCTTGTGAACAGATTGCTAACCAGAGCAGAGTCCCTTCTCCTGAACTGTTCTGGCATTTTATTATATTTATATTGATTTAAACTTTTATCCATGAACATAATTCTTAGACTTGAATGGTGCTAAAAAGCTTGCAGTAACAAGCTTCAGTCCCTTCACACCAGGCGCTTCCTCATCCTGTGCTCAAGGCAGACTTGGAACTCTCCTCTCCATTTCTGTCATACTTCTGAATGATATGCTTGGTTCCCATCTCTTGACACGTTATTGATGGCATTCTCACTGTGGTAGTTGGAACCTTCCTTTCCTCTGTCCTCCAATTTAGTCATTCCACATTCTTTTCTGTCTCATTCATGCACATTGCTTTCACTGTTACTACAATGGTGGCTTTGCCTGCTGGTGAGAAATGTAAATTCTTGTGTTTTTACATGAAAGAACTGCTTAGTTTTTGTCCTTTTTTCTATTTTGTCATTTGCTTTGAGTCCACAGCTAAATTCTCCTTGGCCTTCCCATAGCTTTGAATAGCCTGCTAAGCTGTTGTCTTGAGGCCTGCCTCTGGGACATCTAGGCATTCTCTCATCTTCCCTTTTGAGCATTTGATTTCCAGTAACAAAGCACTGGGAGTCACAGTGGATCAAACAGTAAGACTGTACTGTGTGTAACCTCTCAGTATGGGCCCCAGCTCCCCTCTGTAGTCTCCAGACTCTTCCTTCCTACCTTGCTGGGTGTTTCCATCAGGCTAGTGGCAAGATGGCTATAGTTCTTTCTGCTATCGAATACTGAATGGTTGACGGTGTCTAAAGTGAGACTTTTTCCTTTTTTTTTTTTTCTTTTTGCACTGGGTATTAAACCTAAAGATTTGTTCACATTGAACATGCACTCTGCCACTGAGCTATGACTCCATTCTCTCTTATGACCCGTTCTTAGAAACAAGAAGACTTTTTCCCAGGTGTCTTCCAGCACCTCAAGATTATTCCAATCTCATTTTCAAAATTGATCACATCCAAGTGAACATGACAAGAAAGACCAGGCCAAGATCAACCAGGATTCACTTTTAGAGCTTTGTATGAGGACACTGTCCCCTGAGTTAAATGGACAAGGAGTTAATTCCTTAATAGGAGGAGTTATTTTAGAACTGGAATAGGTTTTAGATAGGCCACTACTAATATTAGTGAAACAAGGTGAAACGTCTGAGGCTTCATCTCTGAGACACCTTTATGCTTGATTTATAATTAAGGTACAGCTAGAAGTTCAGGTTTAAAGCTGTCTTCACTCGGGATTTTGAAACATTGCCCTATTGTCTGTTCACTTCCAGTATGTTCCCAGCTGTGTCTTTGCTTCAGCCATTACCCCAAACCTAACTCCTCCTCTTAGGAGTTAGAGATCATTGCACAGGTCAGCAGTAAATGCCTCAAAGTCTTTTGGGAGCTTCCAAAATGCTCTGCTCATGTTTCCAGTGGTGTGGTAGATGAAATAATGGACCAGCAGCCAGGAAACCAACTGTAAAATCTAAGATAAAGGCAGGCTTTGTGGCACATGCTTATACCCCAGACTTTTGGAGGTAGAGGCAGAAGATAGTTCAAGGGCATCCTTAACTCCTTGGCCAGTTCAAGACCAGCTTGGGCTACACAGACCCTGTCTCAAAGCAAAACAAAAGGGAAAGTCATCTGATTTTATCCATCTCTAAACTTTTATAAATCTATCATAAAAGTAACTTCCAAAATTATTTGATCAAGGATCAGCAAGATAACTCAGTAGATAAAGGTACTTGCCACCAAGCTTGACAACGTGAGTTCAGTATTGGGAACGCGCATGATGGAAGGAAAGAACTGACTCCCAAAAGTTGTCCTTTAACTACCACACGTGCCAAAGAAATGAATAAAATGCTCACTGACTCTAATAGTTATAAGTTTTCAAACTGTCCCCTAAAATAGGGTCATAGCTTGTGTCTTAAGTCCTCACTGAGAACCTTTGTGGAGCATAGGGAAATGAGTTGTTTCTATACATCTCCTCCCACGGGACTTCCTCTACCTCCACCCATCTGTAATTCCAGTTGCAGGGGAATCCAATGCCGCCTTCTGACTCCTCAGACATTGCAGGATACGGGTGCGCTTACACATATGCACGCAATACAGTCATACATATACAGTAAAAATAATAAAATATTTTAAAATTAAAAAATAAAATGCCTAACAAAACCATTGTTACAGCTGTCTCTTTTACGTGTATAGCATATCTGTATACCACATATATCAACATATGCTATATGTCATATGTACAGAAGAAGAATAGCAACCCTTGAAAAAAAACTGTCATCAAATCAGTTTATAAGAAGACTTTGTGCTACTTACTAGGCTGTCAGAAAATGCTGGCTGGCAGGATGGTTGGACAGATGGGTGGACAGACAGATGAAGAATTCTTCTTTAAGAAAGACCAGCATGGATGGTAGATTATCTTGGAAAGAGATGGGACTATTTTTTGTCTTAAGGTTGAGAAGTTTGCATTTTTGATGGCCTTACTGCTGTTCACTTGCCTTTTCATCTTCAGCATGTGTGTCTCCTCTAATCTAGTCTCACCCACTCCTCACCTGTTCTTTGTTCCTTGAGTTTCATTTGGAAGCAGAAGGTATTCTTAGTGCTTTGTAATGGCAGTCTGAATCTGTGTATCTGCACGAGCATGGGTATTCACCTCCCACTCCTCGAAAACACCCTGAGAAAGCTGTTATTTGACTGTTGCTGAATTCTTAGAGGAGGGCAAAGAAAATTCCATTGTCCCTTTTTCACTGTTATGCTGCCTCTTGCCTTTTATTATTTGTAGCTGATAAAAGAATAGAAACTCACACATTTGACAAATGAAATAATGTGAGGAAAGGGTCTTAGTAAACTTACAACACGTTAGGTTCACAGAGACCATTGCTTTAAAAGTTTCCAATTCATGCATATGTGTGTGTGTGAGAGAGAGAGAGGGGTTGGAGGCTGGGATAGGTCTTCAGAAGTCTCTCTATTGGGAGTTACAGGGCAAGGCCTCTGTATCTTTTATTATTTATTATTACTAGCTTGTAGTAATTTGCAAACAATATGCTATAAATTTCTCCCCAAAACATATCAGCTTAAAATAAAAAAATGTTTATAGTTTCTATGAGTCAGATATCCAGGAAACTTAGCTGAGTCCTTTTGAGAACTTTCACAGTAGAGCAGATGTTTTAAGGCTCAACTCAGGTAAATTGCTCCCCAATCCTCTCTCAGGCTTTCTTCAAGTATCAGAATATAGTGTCTGCTTGTCTGTTAGAAGCCACAGCCCCTCATTAACCATTGATAAGAGACAGGTTTCCATATGGGCCTCTTCCCAGGGCTTTCCTCAGAGCAAGTAAGAAAATAACAGCTCTTGGCAGTGATCAGACAAATTCAGTTGTGTTTGTCATTTTCAGTCTGTCTGAATTGATCAGTCAGGTCTGTCCTCTGCACAAGACAGAGAATACACTCTTATCTAATCTCTGAAGTAACATCCTATCATGTTTGCCCTGTAGTGTCCACTAGAAGAGTCATGGGGTCCAGCCCACGTTCATAGGAAGGTGATGACACAGCATTAACAGTAGGAGACAAGGTCTCTGGTGGCCATCCTAAAGGCTGCTTGCCAACCCCACCAGCACCCAGTCATTGATGACTGCTGCCTCAAGAAAGGGGTGTGCCCTTGGGTAAGGCAACCTTTTCTAGCTGTCAAAATTCCCAACGAAGGCATTCAGCTGAAGGGGGTCAGCTAATTGCTGTGGGATAAACCCTTCAGTCAAAGCTGGGGTGTCTTGAGTAGTACTAAGCCACACCCACTTCAGTATGCACAGCGCCTAGCTAGCCAGAATACTTAACAAACTAGAATTTCTGTGGGACATGGAACATTTCTTTATCTATTTTAAAAGGAGAAGCAAATTGTATAGCACATTGCATCAGAACCATTCTCTTTTTAATACCAAAGTTCAGTTCAGATTTTGCAATCAGTCCTGTTCAAAACTATTTTGAGCTCAACCTCCTAAATGCAAAAGCATTTTCAAAACAGTGTTAGTCCTTTTCCTAAACAGGTAAAATTGCTAAAGGGAACTACAGGTGGATAGGAAGAAAATGGGTTATCTTATATCTTCTATAGTCCTCTACTTGACTTCATCTTTTAGGTGGTTTTGATCTCCTTTCAGGTTTTTTTTCTCCCTTTATTTCATAGATGAAGCAGAGCAAGTGCCTGATTCTGTTACTTTCCTCTATCAAATAACCAGAGGAATTGCAGCAAGGAGCTATGGACTGAATGTGGCTAAGCTAGCAGATGTTCCTGGAGAAATCCTAAAGAAAGCATCTCACAAGTCGAAAGAGTTGGAAGGACTAGTAAATCTGAAAAGGTCAGAAGTTTGTGCTGTCTTTGTTTTGGTTTCTAGTGAAACCTCCCAACCTGTGCAGGGAAGAGGCTGGCCCTGTTATTGAACACTATCAGTTCTGCTTTCAAGCGCTCCATCAAGGATTCTGGAACATTTATTTAGAGTTGGGGAAACAGCTCTTGGCAGAGCTCAGACAAATTCAGTCGTGTTTGTTATTTTCAGTCTGTCTCTATTGATCAGTCAGGTCTTTGTTAGTTTGCAAATTGGGTTTTCAGTCATTTTTCTGAAGAATTAAATTAACTCCCTGGGTGCCAACACATTAGCTGCTGGAGATACTTATTTCAAAAGTTACTGAAAGAAATGTTAATATTTAGGGGCTTCTTTTATTTGTATATTGCATCCAGATTTGTAGTGATCACATTCAGAAATTAGGAATTCTGTTAGGGGCAGGCAAGATGGCTTAGTGGGTAATAGTGCTTGCTACCAGACCTGCCCACCTAAATTCAGTCCCCAGGGACCTACATAGTAGAAAGAGAGAACTGACTAGTAAGTTGCCCTCTGACCTTCACATATACACTGTGGTATGTGCCCCATCCCTACCAAATAAATAAATGTCATAAAAATTTTGAAAAGAATTCTGTCAGGATGTAAATGAAATTGTAGTGTTATGTAACCGAAACATCATAGTATCCACACATCACTCACTTGTGAATTGTGTGTGGCGGTTTCATTGTGACCTAGCTTCTCTCTGTATCTTCTTTTGTGCCTGCTTCACCTCACCATTTCCTCCTGATAGCTAGTCAGTATGTGGTCATTCATAGACTAATCTTAACATTTATATACATGACCCTGAATGAACCAGATTTTTGATCATGTAGAAAATCGTGACTGACTACCAGTGGTTCCTGTGTTGTACTTTAAGAATATGACTTATTTCTAAGAAGTATTAAGATGTTAATATCTGTAGTGTTAGATGAAAAGTGAAGAAATTGCTAGCTGTGCGCACTACAATGTGCATTCATTTTCTCTTTGTCCATTTACCCTCATGGTGTTTCTGCCTGGCAGGCCATGCTTTGTGATGGTGTGCGATGGTTGACCAAGTAAGTCCTAGTACTGGAGTGCCATAAATGGCACACAGCCTGCCCTGTTGGCACATGGCCTGCTCTGTTAGCACTGACTTCTAGATCTCTTCTGCAGGGTCACAGACAAAGCAAGAGTAGCACAATTAGTTTCAGCCTATTTCTGTTACAAGACAAATTAATATGAAAATTTTCCAAAAAAATTTTTTGATTAGAGACTAAAACATGTTCCTTAGCTCCCTGCAAAATCCAAAGACAGGTGTGATCTTCTTTGTTGTTTTATTGTTTTCTACCTGAAGAGACTAGAATATGACTCTACTACCGAGGATATTGCTGGGCATGACTCCTGCTTTTAATACCAACACTTGGGGAGGCAGAAGCAGGAGGATCTCTGTGAGTTTGAGGCCAGGCTGGGCCAACCAGGGGTACATAGTTAGACTCTGTCTCAAAAAAAACAAAAAAAAAAAACACAAAAGAAAAATATACACAACAATTTATTCTTATTGCTTTATATAACCTATAAAACAAAAACAAGAAAATTAGAAAATTCACAGATTACTTATAAATATTCATTCTTCTAACTACTGTGTGACATTTTAAAATCTGCCAAATTACCTTGATAAGATGAGACACTGCATTAAGATGGAGTGTTGTGGCCTATTAAGACACTGCTTATTTCCCTTTTCACTAAAAATTTTTGTCACCATTTGGTCAGATCAAAGAAAGCAAACTGAATCTTGTATATTAGCCATGGATATGTTACAGTAGTTAAGAGTTCATCATGTACAGAACTGCTACATGCAGTCACCTGGGCACTGCGCTAGCTTCCTTCCACATACTGACTTGCCTAACTGCCATGATGCCTTGTGTACTATTGCTATTGCTGTCCTCATGCTATAGTTGGGGAAATAAGATCAGGCCACACACAGCAAGGCGCTGACCCTGGTTACCAAGCTCATTAGACATGGAGTAGTAACTGGAGCTCATATGTGGCTCCAGACCCTAAATTGTTAACTGGATTGCTGACCTGCTGGTCTGCAGCCTGCTGGTATTGCTCTCATTCACCAGCTTTATTTTATTAAATCAGTTTCACTTTTCTGGGACTGTTCACCAGGAGTCTTTTGTCCTCTGGTGAAATAGAAACACAGGCCTCTAACCTCTGACGGTCAGGAGGAAGTCACGTGCTCTCTCTCTGCAGGCAGCAGGAAGGCAGTCATGGTGATCAGTAGTCTGAGTCCCTCGATCTGCAGACTCTGGAAGGGTGATGCTGCGATCATTTCCTGTCCATAGAGTCTGCCTGCTGTTCCGGTGGCGGTAGGCTGTTCATCACTTCCTGTGAGACATCCTGTCCCCAACAACTCAATTTCCAAATAACCATTTTTTTTTTTTCTACAGGAAAAGACTTAAGTATTTTGCAAAGTTATGGACAACACATAATGTGAAAGACCTGCAAACGTGGACAGACGAGTTTGAAATGGATGAAATGCAGACTTCTCCTCCATATTAAAACGAAAACTACATTTTTGAACAAAAATGGAGCATTAAAAATACCAACTATACAAAACCACTTTCCAGTACAACCTGTCTTTGTGTGACACGTGAACATAAAGTTATGACTGTGTTGTCTTCCTTTTGGAAATAGATTTCTTCCTCTGTGAAGAAATGTTCTGCAGGTTCCCATATTCCTGCCTGTCAAAGTACAAACACTTTCAGATATTAGGGCTTTCCACTCGGAAATTGGAAAATCTCCTGGACAGTAAGTTTCATGTAAAATCAGAAACTAAAGAAAACCTAAAACAGCAGAACACCAAGAATGCACAGAGGGTGATATAATATTTTGTTTGTCTGTTTCAGTTCAGATGTTTGGCAGCAGGGTAGACCTAATAGGAGTGTACTTTGTGTGAACTAAGAATTTTATAATGCCAGCTATTTATTCACCATGGACACAAACATTTTTATAAGAAATAGAATCATGAAGCTTTTTAGATACTAGAGCAGTAAGAAGGATAAAGCCATATGAAATTTGAAGAATTGGCAGTCATTATTTTAAGGTGTTTAAAGGTTGTTGGATGAAATTATTTTGTCATTCATTCAAGTAATAAATGGAACGAGTACTTTCTCTAATGGCATGACTTACTGAATTTTGGTGTTTTTAAGTATCAGACTGTTGTATTTTATTTTCAACTATGAACCAAAGATTCTTGTTCCTAGCAAAGCAGTCCACAGAGCTGACCTTGGTCATTTTGACTGCTCTGTTAACCTACACAGCACATGTGTGACCTTAGTGCTGAATCTTGGGATTTTGTTGATTCTCTGCTATATTAGGGTGATGGGCATTCAACTGTACCCCTGTGTTTTTACAGCGCTCAAACAGTCTGGCTCCTCATATCTGTGCCCTTTCCAACCCATTTATTATTCTTGCTCAGTTAAATTTCTTCCCCATATTTGAAGGACATAAACTCTATTTCCTTCCCCTGGATTACTAAAGTGGCCGCAGCAATGACCTCAGACTCAGGAGTCAACACGGTGTCCACAATGTTTAGGTAAGAAATGATTCTGCTGCCTCTCTGGAAATGCTAATATATAGCGAAAGTCTCAAAAATGTCTCAAGATAGAACTAGTTGAAATGTACTCTTTAAATTTGAAAAAGAACAAGATGATATCTATACTTTATGTGACTGTGAATGCCTGTGTTGTTTCTACCAACTTTAGAGATATGCTGTAGCTACTGACTGTCCAGAGCAAGGAAGGAGTGAAGTCCGAGTGCATGCCCATACTGGAGGGAGCTGCAGGGATAGGCAGTCACTGGCAACCAATAAGTAAACAGTTGGGACCACCTCGATGCCTCTGGCTGGGTCCAGACCTCCATCAGCATTCAGACAGGTGGGGAATTCCAGGAACTGTGTCCTAGCAGCGGCAGCTGAGAGTACAGAACGTCACGGGACAGATTGCCCAGTGTGAAGCAGCCAGCCAGCCTCCAGCAAGGCAGGTCTACTGCTCACAGTCCCAGTACTGCTAAAATATGTTTCTGAGTGAGGCTCCTTCCCAGCCAGGTTACTGACATGTTAGTTACTTTTCTGTTGCTATAATAAAATGCCATGACCAAGGCAACTTACAGAAAGAAGAGTTTATAGTAGAGAGGCAAGGCTATGAACTCTCAAAGCTCGCCTCTAGTAGCATGCTTCCTCCAGAAAGGCCATACCTCCTAAAGGTTCCATGACCTTCTCCAAACTGTGCCATCAACTGACCAAGTGTTCAAACACTTGAGCCTATGGCGGGCACTTCTCATTTGAACTACCACACCTGTGAAGCACATGGTATCTGCAGAAAGACTGCACAAATGCGCAGGGCTGGGCAAGAAAGCCTGTACTTCAGAAATCTAACACAGGGATGCAGATCTGGTAGGTAAACAACTTACACGTGTAGAAATGTGACTGTTTAGGCTACTTCCAGGGTTCAGAGCCTCACAGATCCTGATTGGACCTGAGCCTGAAAACTAAACATTCTTAATCCTTCAGAATAGGCTAGGGAAGACAGGGCTGACTTGTTACCAGTCTGCCAAGGGAAGTAACTTGGAAATGGAATATATCCCTTTAAATAACCTGTGTGTTATTAACCATAGAATTACGTATTAAGAACTAGTAATTCTACAGTAACATCTATGAAGTTCCTCAAAAACCTTTTAAATATATACCATTCAACTCTATAATTCCAACCTTTAAAAATAAATAAAGCCAAGGCTGGGTGTATAACTCAGTGGTAGAGCACACACAAAAAATACAAAGGCAGAATATATTTTAACCACTTGAGACACTGCCTTCCCTCCATTTAGTCTTCCATCAGCTGTAGTGCTGTCTAAACTACTGTTTTTAAGATATTACTGTATGATAACTACTACAATATAGGAATATTTACAACTGGGCTTGGTGGCTCACATGGGAGACTGTGGTAGCAGGATTACTACAAATTCTGGGCCATACTAAGCTACAATATAAAACCCTGTCTTAAAACTCCACAGGACTGTAATTTCTAATTGTTTTAAAATGCTGGGATCAAACCCAAAGCTTCATGCTGGCTAGGTAAGCATTCTACCAACTGAGCTACATCCCAGCCTCTACAATTATAATTTTAAAAAGAAAAAACAAAAGTGAAAAATGTAGGTCTTAAAATTGTTTTATAAAAACAACAAGAAGCTGGAGAAATGGCTCAGCAGTTAAGAACACCTGCTGCTTTTAAAGAGAACCCAAATAGGTTTCCTAACACCCACACTGGGCAACTCACAACTGCCTGTGACTCCAGCTCCAGAGTATCTGACACCTCTGGCCTCGAAGAGTGCCTGCACTCATGTGCACATAACCACATACAAACACGTACACATAATTTAAAAGAGGGGGACAAAAACCCCAGAAAACTGAAGCTTTTGAGTTATTCAGTCTATCTCTGTGGCTGTCAGTGCTGACTATTAAAAACTCTGTGATTCCTGGGGCTGGAGAAATGGCTCAGAGGTTAAAAACACTGACTGCTCTTGTAGAGGACCCCGGTTCTATTCCCAGCACCCACATGGTGGCTATGAACTGCCCTTAACTCCAGTTCCAGGGGAATTCGAGGCCCTCTTCTGACTTCATGGGTGCACTCACATACATGCAGGCAATACACTCATACACATAAAATAAAAAATAATAAAAATTAAAAAAAAATACTCTGATTCCTAGGCTCCACCTGAACCGAGGAGGCTGGAACCCCAGGCTTAGTATTTCTGAATGGCTTTATTGATTAATTTATGCACTATACCATTTACATACAGCTCAGTGTATTTTCCTTTATTCACAAAGTTGTATAATTGTCACTAGTCGGTTTTAGAATGTTCTCATCACCCTAAAAAGATCCTTGTACCCATTAGCAGTTGTTCTCCATTCCTCCCCCAGAGCCCCCGCTTGAGACAACCACTCATCTGCACCTTCACTCTCTAGATTTGCCTATTCAGGGTACATGATGTAAATGGAATTATGCGATATGTGGTCTTCTGTAGCTGTTATCTTTCACTTAGCTGTTTTCAAGATTGATTCATGTTGTAGCATGCATGAGAATTCATTCCTTTTGATTGATGGAATGTTTCCATTCTGTGTCCGCCCCACATTTTATTTAACCATTGGCAGTTAATGCACATTTTAGTTATTTCCATTTTGACTGCAGAGAGCAGCTTTTATGTGGCAAAGCATTGTTTTTTGTTTTTTTTAAATCCTCTCTCCTCCAGTAATTCTGATTTGTCATCAGGTGTATGAGCCATTAATTTCTCAATAGTTACAAGTGACTATTTTTAATTTACAATTATTGGTTTAATCTCTCCTCCTTATCAATTAGGACAAAACATTTCATACTATAAACCCCAGTAAATATTTGTTAAAATAGAAAAGGCTTTCAGATCAAAAACTCTAGGAAAAGAATGCTCCTTTGTCACTAGGGTAGCAACCCACACATGACTCAAGATCCTTACAGAAGTGTGCTGTATCTTAAAGCAAGAGACAGGATTCTTAATCTTCAGTTTGTCCAAGTTTGAGCCTGTTGTCATGGAGGTGGTAATGATGATAGTGCCTCCTATGCGAATTCCTGAGAAAGTCTAGATCGAATCCAATGTGCCCTACCAATTAATGCTGACCTTTAGTAAGTTCCAAGATCAATGTTAATTACTGCTGTGCTGTGTAATTATAAATGTGCTACTTGATGCTTTGCACTGAGCTTGGTTGGAGTGTATTAACACCATATGTGGTCTCTAACTTTGTAAGACAAATCTGTTTCTCTGTGGAATATTGTAGCTCATGCATGTGAGGATTTCTAGCTTTACTGACACCTAGGAAAGTTTTGGGGAGAGTGCTTTGTTAGGGAGATGACCACTCTGGTTTGCCTAGGACATCCTGGTCTATACCTGCTTAGCTAGCATATTTATTAAACACCTTCTTAACTCAGAACTGTTCTTTTAGGATAAATTATAAGGTTGTTCCAATTAAGGTACTGCTTTGTGGCATATGCTCTGACTTGATAGATTTTGAAAGTCATCTTTGAAAATCCAGTTTTCAAGCTGGAGAGATGGCTTAGCAGTTAAGAACACTGACTGTTCTTGCAGAAGACCCAGGTTTGAATCCCAGCACCCACATGGCAGCTGACAACTGTCCGTAACTCCAGTTCCAGGGGATCTGACAGCCTCTTCTGGCATTGCACAACACGGGCGCACTTACCTACATGCAAGCAATACATGCATACACATAAAATAAAAATAATAAAATATAAAAAAGAAAGTAGTATCTTAGTTATAAAAAATAAAATTTAAAAAAATCCAATTTTCCCTTATCCATTGGGTGAACTGATTTTCCCCACAAAGGCCTGCCCATTGTTATTGCCTGTTTCTGATAAGTACTTTCTGTCCTGGTGTTTAGAAGCTACAACTCTGCTAATTGCTATGTTAGTCTTTAGCACCTAATCTATTTTTAAGACTAAATCCCAAAGATAACTTGTTATCTGCCCTGTTTCCAAGAAATAATGGTGAAGAATATGCACCTTTTTGACTTTGTGAGACAGAGCAGGGCTGTCTTTTGGCAGAAATAATTACTGAGCTTGGGAGGAGGCATTCTCTGCTTGCTTTGTTACTTATTGAGATTCTCAGATCTTCTCTTTGGCTGTCTCTCTCTGTCTCTCTTTTTACATTTACAATAGTCTTTTATTAGTTTTGTTCTTTATTTCATACATGTTTGTAATGCATTCTTATTACTCCCACTCCCCACCATCTCTTATTTCCCTCCCTTCCCTGTTAAGCCGCCTCCTCCCTAGAGTCTCTCTCCTACATTCTTTAGTTGTAGTTTTATGACCCACTGAATTTCTGTGTGACTGTGTGTCTGGAACTATCCATTGGAGCTTGGTGGGCAATGACTCCTCCTCTCTCAGATTCTTTTAGTAGCCAGTAATTCAGCAAGGAGGGTAGGACCCATGAGTCCTTGCTCTATCCATGACTAAATGTTGACCGGGCTAGTCTTGGGCAGGCTCACCCAGGTAATGGCAGTTACTGTGAGTTCATGATTGTGTGTCTTACCCAGGAGATGGCACATCGCAGCCCTTCTCCCTGTCTTCCAGCTCCTACATTCTTTCTACCTTATCTTCCTCAGTGTTCCCTGGGAGTTTCTGAAATATTGTGTGTTACTTTTATCTCCTTCTGGGGCCCTTTTTCTGCATCTTTACTCCCATGAAACACCATTGGATGTAGGGAGGTGGTTTCAGAGTCTCCTATGAAAGGTTTAAATTCAAAATCCTTCCTTGGAATCTCAATCCTCCAGGCTGGGATATAGAAATACCATTTGGTATTCATTTCTATCTTCATCACTTGCTCATGTTCTCTCTTCTTTCTCAATTCTCTCCCCTCCTAGTCTATTTTCTAGTCTTCAAGGAAATGTGCTAAAAAAAAAAT